ACATCTACTCTGGAAACTGGGAGGTGACATCTATACTGTTAACTGTGGGAGGTGACATCTACTCTGGAAACTGTGGGAGGTGACATCTACTCTGGTAACTGGGAGGTGACATCTACTCTGGTAACTGTGGGAGGTGACATCTACTCTGGTAACTGTGGGAGGTGACATCTACTCTGGAAACTGTGGGAGGTGACATCTACTCTGTTAACTGTGGGAGGTGACATCTACTCTGGTAACTGTGGGAGGTGACATCTACTCTGGAAACTGTGGGAGGTGACATCTACCCTGGAAACTGTGGGAGGTGACAATCTACCCACAGAGTAGATTACTCTGGAAACTGTGGGAAGAGGTGATATCATCTACTAATAATTTGGTTTCTTAAGCTAGAGAGGTGCTCTGCATGACAAATAATACCAAAAATGTTTTCTGTTTGGTAGCTTAGTCAAATTATTTTCCTACTGAACCAATACTTTGACCATGGAATGTAAGATAAAATTATAAGGTAGAATCTGCTATCTTATAAATTGTTTACAGTAATACAAATCATTACTAATAATATACCATTAAAGATAATATATGGCAAACTTAAAAATACAAACATCTAATATTAAAGCTTATATAGTGCTATCTTTTTTTTACCCACTTCTAAAATACAGATATATTGGGTAAGCAATCAGATTTATATATGCACCTTTTGGGCTCTCATAAAAATATAATAGAGTGATAAACTCCTTTTCATTGACTCTTACCCATTATATCACTTCTGGTTATTATCATTTGGTAACAATATATAAATTTAAGAAAAAGAGAGTTTTCATAATAGCAGTATATGGATTTCCCCATGAGTTTCAACTCCATCCAGTTATTAATAAACATTCAGTTTATACATGCATACTATAATACTTGATAGTAGTTTGAAAAACTCTTAACATTTGTTTATAGACTTTTAAAAACAAATTTTTATTCCCAGAAAATTCATGATTCCTATTTATTATTGATCCTCTGGGATTTTTCAAGGAGTACATACATGCAATCGTGTCTTCTCCCTACTAGCCATCTGAACAAACTTTAATCAAACCAAGGCATCTGAATGAACATTAGTGTATGACATAAAGTTATCAGTTACACCTGGGAGCCCTCTTTCTTTAGGACTTTCTTGGCTTCTGTTATGGCTTTTCATAATGGAGAAGAAACATAGAATGCAGGTGAAAAGGCTTTTTCCCATTCTGTGATTCCAAGAAATAGACATTGGTGTAACACAAGTCATAAAAGGTCTTATTAATAGAAAACCCAGAGCCAGATATTGGGGTGAAAGCTGAAAGATCAGAGAAGCAAAACAGCCAGCCTTTAGCTCACCTCCACAAAATTCTCAGCCTCAAGAGAGTGAGTTCCTGTTTCCTCATGCCTTATATGCCTTTCTGGGTCCTGTCATATTACTTCCTGGGATTAAAGGCATGTGTCACTGCCTGGTTCTGTTTCTCTCCTGTAGCCCAGTGTGGCCTTGAACTTACAGAGATCCAAATGGATCTCTGCCTCCTGTTTGGTAGGATTAAAGGTGTGCCACCACTGTCTGACCTCTATGTCTAATCTTGTGGCTGGCTCTGTCCTCTGATCCTCAGGTAAGCTTTATTGGGGTACACTATATATCACCACAGATTGGTGTCATTGTTCTGCTAATGTTGACACTGAGGTGATTGTTTCTGTTGTCATTCTCTGCTAACCGCGTTGCTAACTTATCTTTGACTTTCTTTTCCCCTGAAAATGTTTCACTGGGTATCTTTGGGGTCATTATTTGCTAACACATCGATGCCAAAAAGACATCCAAGGACAACTACTAGTATCTTCTAGTTAATCAACCCATTTTTAACGTGCAAAATTATATTCAGTTGTAAATTGCATTGAATTTTTATTTCAAGTTATGTATCTATTGGTAAGATACTCTCTCTTTTAAACTGCAGGGAAATTCTGGAAAACAAACACCACACATATTCAAGCAAATCACCCGAGTGTTCTAGAAAATAGTGAACATAAAGATTCAAGAGCCTGTTAAGAAAAAACTTGACTTTCATGTAAATAGTTCTTCCCTTTGAAGGATTTTTGCATGTCACTTGCTCAGTTGAGAACTCAATGTAGATTGCTGAGGCCTCTTCATGTCTTCAAAAGTAAAATATAAATTGAATGCTTCACAATTAGATGGTCAAATGTAATCTTTTGGAGGAAATGTTCATTCGGAAGACCAAATGCAGTTCTTCCATATACTCTATTACTATTCCTTGGAATACTAACTGAGCACCTACCACTCCATCGACAACAGTGCTCAATTCCTAGCTTGCTAGTCACTTAGTGTGAAATTGCAGGGGTCTGATCAGAAGAAATTCTGCATCATACCTTTTGATTACAACAGTGTAAAGGCTTCATTTTAACTAAGGACAATCCGGTGACAGTTCCTCTGCTGTCTGCAGCAAGTACATTATCCTTTACGTTGTTTCCTTTGAATCATCACAAAAACTCCATGAAAAGACATTATTGCTATTTCGCAAAGTAAGATGATGCTCAAAGAGTTGAAGCTTCATATTAGACAATATAATAGGAGATTTCAATTCAAGATGGAGATCATCTGGGTCTTTCAATGTTAAAAGCTATCTTTCATACAAATGTAATACTGTAATGACCGTCTAGTGGGAAATAGGAAATGGGTAACTCAGCCTGTAATCCACTTTTATTCCATTTATTTGTTATAACCTCTGCTCTTTTCAGTGATTATTATAATTTAAATACTATATCAAAGGCACATTCTATGAAATTATAAGAGCTAATATGATAGCCTGCAATGTATTTACAGATGATTATTTTTATTCTGATTATTAAGTTATGCATATACATTACTTAAAACTTATAATACAAAGTGTATTAAAAACATAACTCACCCTAAGCATAATTAGTTTTTGCTGTATCTCATTTACTCAAAACAGTATACATTTATTCAATATGTAAATTTTGTTCAAAAAGTATATGTTTTGTTCTTGTGTGTGTTAATGTACACATTGTGTACTTTTTCCATGTTTCAATCACCATTTTGTAATGTGATTCTATTACTTTCTGTGATTTCTGTTGTTTTTTGCAACTTGTTTGACCAATTCTTTATTTTCTATATAACACTTGTTCACATTCATATATGGACAGACTTACAATGAGTTTGAATGTATACCTTGATAGAACAACAACAGTTATGCAAAGTGTAGTTCCAAAGTGAATTTGCTGTCTTCACAGAAAGTGTAAGGTCCCATCAGCTTGCAATACAGTATTTTCCTTGAGCAATTACAAATATATACTCCCACTGATACTCAAAAGAATTATTTTTCCCTCCGTGTGGTTATCATCCAGTGTATGTACCCATGGTCCATCTAATGTTCTGTGCATGTCCCCCATGTGGTAGAAATGTCCTGTTGGTGCTGCTCTTCTTCGTTCAGTGAACACATGACCTATTCTGCATTTCTATGCGATATGATAAGGTCAGAAGTTGACTGTAGTCTTCGCTGAGTTGTAGGGGAAGAGCTCTAGCAATCTTGCTGTCACACACAGACCCTCACTGTTCCTTGTTTTCTGAAGGCTGTTTAACAATTAGATGCTGATAGAAGCATTATGACATTTTATCATACTTGGCAGTTACCAAAAATATATCTGATCACTGTTTTATTCTCTAGTTTTATTAAGGATTGATTGGCAAACAATCACACACACACACACACACACACACACACACACACACACACACACACACACAATGTATTAAATAAGCCTTGATACACATGTATCATCTCATGGAACAAGCTTCCTTCAGTCACTTTGCCTTCATAACTCTTCTCTCCATCAGTAAACATTTTAGATCTTTGAACTTTCGATTCTTGAGCTTTGTGTCATATGTGAGAGTATCCCCAAGCAAATATACCATATATATAAATTGGGAAGTTATGATATTGTATCATTTTTCAGTGATGTTAAGATCTCCTCCAAAGTTCAACTTCAAGTATGGATTTCATGCTGCCATAACTGGTCCAGCTTTTTCTCCTTTCTCTTAGTGCTAGGAATCAAGCCCAGGGCTTTGAGCATTCTAAGCAAGTGCTCTTTCATTAATACAGCCTTCAATCCAACTTTAAAAGTCTGTTACATAATTGTGTTTTAATTAAAATTAATATGTATCTATTTTAAAGACTATATGTTTAAAGGCTAGTTGTATAGATGCTGGTACATAACTTTAGAGGAAATTCGTGTCATTTTGCTTATGTATGGTGGGAGAGAAATAAATATGTGAATAAATTTTTAAGCCAACAAATTTGTCAATATGCAAAAAAGCTGTGACTACAGCAAAGAATTTTAAAATCGTTTTAAAAATTGTATCTCACTTTTTTGTCTTAAAAACAAATACAGCTTAACTGTGCTAATTCAGAGACATTAAGTATTAATATGAATTTAATTTTACCATAAGATTTTAAGCAAGTGAGTGTTTGTTAATAAGACTTGTAGTAGCAGATTCAGTGTCTGTCATGGTTTTTTTTTGTTTGTTTGTTTGTTTTTTGGTTTTTCGAGACAGGGTTTCACTGTAGCTTTGCGCCTTTCCTGAAACTCCCTTGGTAGCCCAGGCTGGCCTCAAACTCACAGAGAGCCGCCTGCCTCTGCCTCCTGAGTGCTGGGATTAAAGGTGTGCACCACCACCGCCCAGCTCAGTGTCTGTCATGTTAAACCAGAAGTGTTTTGAGTTTTTCTTCCTAAACTCTCAGTGTGGTGAAGCATTGATCTTGTATTTTTGTCTGACAGGCTTTCGCAGGCAAAGACCTGGAGGAGCAGTTACGGTCAGTGTCCAGTGTAGATGAGCTCATGTCTGTCCTGTACCCAGACTACTGGAAAATGTACAAGTGCCAGCTAAGGAAAGGTGGCTGGCAGCAGCCCACCCTCAACACCAGGACAGGGGACACTGTAAAATTTGCTGCTGCACATTATAACACAGAGATCCTGAAAAGTAAGTATGGGCAATGAAGTGTGTGAAGAGCCTCGGGTGTTCCACAGTGATGATGATGATGATGATGATGATGATGATGATGATGATGATGATGATGATGGTGTGGGCCTTTGCTTCCAGCTCAATATACCTTAAGTCCTCCCACAATAAAGAAAATAGAAGTGAGTCAAGTACTTTGAATAAAACACTTGGGGAGCCGGGCGGTGGTGGCGCACGCCTTTAATCCCAGCACTTGGGAGGCAGAGCCAGGCGGATCTCTGTGAGTTCGAGGCCAGCCTG